TATGGAAACTACATACTTTCAGACATAGGAGTTTCCTTGCTTTATCTACTAGAATATAGAAATTTGTTTTCTGATTTATTGATATTGTTGAGAATGGATAAAAATGTTTGTTTCTAACTTCTTAGGGAAAATAGCATCAATATTTAACTGTAACCAAAAGTAATTCTCCATATATGACCTCAGTAAAATATGTTACAATGAAACACAATGATTTAATAAGTATATATTTAAATGTCAAAATATCAGATAAATATGGTAATCCTTTAAAGAAAAGGAATTCAAATGTACTTCTATATATTAGTACCTTCTTATACATTATCTCATAGCAAACTTGTACAGAGTAATATTAATTCAGTTTTACAGTTTAGACAGTATACTTACCTTGTTTCCACTTACTTGAAATCTGGATTTGAATTGTCATCTTTTCAATGTAAAATACGCTTTTTCTTCGCCACATAATATTATGTCCATTCTACTACCACCTAAACAGGGGCAAGTGTGAGGAAACTTAAAATTCATAGTGTTAAAATAATGTTAATGAAGTGGGAGGGTATAGCTCAGTGGTAGAATGCGTGCTTAGCATGCACAAGGTCCTGTGTTCAATCCCCAGTACCTCCATTAAAATAAATAAATAAACAAACCTAATTACCTTTCCCCTCAAATGTAATGAAGTTTAAAAAAATAAAAAATGTAATTGTTGATTTATTAGCAATATAAAACTAGTAACAGGTCATAAAAGTTAGCAGAATATTGCTGAACAAATTAGAGAATTGTTGCTAAGGGGCTCTTACCTCTTTCCCTCACTTAAGTTTTTTTCACCTACAGATATATTTTAAAAAAACAATAGTCCACACAGGATTTGCAATGCATTTGAAATGCACACACACACAAAGTCTGGCAGGTATATACTTCTTCTAAGCAAGTTGCTGAATTAGTTTTATTTATACATATTTTTCCAGACTTTTTTTTTTTTACATTTCCATCAATAGTGTACCAGACATATTTTCCTGTAGAAAATAATTTTTTGGCAGTTTCGCCTCTACAGAAATTATTTTTAGTTATACGAGGAAATGAACAATAGTGGGCAGAAAAGAGTGAAACTTATTATATTTTACTTTATATATAATTATGCCAATAAAAATAAACATTACTGTACAAAAAAGGAAAATGAAGATTAATATTTTAATACCATAAATCTATTTTTCAAAAATAAGTTATACTTAAAATATTGATCTCCTATAGTAATAAGTAACAATGTTCAAGTTGCTGTTTAAGAGCCTTAATTTATGTCAGTTCATCAAGGACTTTGTCAAAAGGATAGTTTTTGCATATTTCTTTCAATTATTTTAACCAATTTGTCAGCCTCAGTTCATACTTTATTGAAGAATATTTCTTATAAACCTTAATTTCAAAAGTTTCTTTCATGTGATTCAACAGATATATTTAAGACATTGCTATCTATTTGTATAATTTAAAAAACAGAATTTCTCAACAGATTCCAGGAAATCTAACACAAATAAACATTTCAGATAGTCTGTATAATAATAAAATTCAATCTGCTTAAGTTCTATTTCCATATAACCATCAGACTATCATTTTTATTTCAAAACAACTGTACGTAGCCAAGTCCCTATGTATGATAGTTAACTATATCACTAGAATTTCTTCAAATTAACTTCCTCATAGAAGAGAACATTTTCTAAATATAAGTAGTAAAATATGCTGAAGCTTAAAGTGTTTTAGTAAAATTCAACTCAACTCAGCAAAGAGTTAGAGGGTATACAAACAAAAGACTATTCCAAGGAGGAATAATGTATCTTTGATTGTTTAGAATCATGGTGATAATAAAAAGCAAATTGACATTTAGTCAGTTTTTAAGATCTCAAGAGACCACTTTTCATAGTCCAGCCTTGTTTCAGGCACATCACTGAATCTTTGTGAATTCATAGTGTGATGGTGTTTGATGGCACACTAACACTCATGAAGGCACTTAAGACAGTTAAGAAAATTAGAATGCAGTAAGAATTTCAAGAAGTATGATTTTTTTAAGGAAATTTTTCAAATATTTTTGACCGTTTTAATTTTAGTAGATACAGTAGTAATTTTCAAAATGTGTAAGAAATTTCTAAATACTTGAAAATAATTTAAGGTATAAAAATAGTTATACAACTTTTACCATTTCTTTTCTCAATCTCAAGATGATTTAGATAGTTAAGGAAAAAACTGAATCTACTTTTAAAATTTAAGTTTACCTTGAATGGTTGTCATTTTTTTAATGGATATTAATAGCTGCCAATTATTTTTTGTCAAAAACTAAAATCATGACAACTAATGTAGTTGGAATCCTTTGACACAAAATACAATCTGGACTATTTAAATTTGGTTTTGAAAATGTAAGTAATGAGAAACATCCTCTGATTGCAAAGGTTAGTGCTAAATTAATTCCAAATACTTTTCATAAATGAAACAGATTAAAGGAACATTGTCCCTGAGAAGCAGATGAAACAGTCTCTTAGTTTATTTCATTCTGAGTCAGGGAACATGGCCTTTATAACCACTAGTATCAATGAATTTGAAATGACTCCAAAGTTCAAACATCAGTGAAGCAGCACATCATATGTTCAAATCAGATGACCGTTTGGTTAGGCAAATGCCATTTATATTTCAGGAGACATCCATGTTATAATCAAAAATGAATTAGCAGACATGGAAACTTCAAGCACCATTTGTCATCTGGAACTCATGTGCATTAATATGCCTCATATCTGTGACTCTGAGAAAAGCTAAGTCAACTCCAAAATTACCATAACATTGAAACCTAAACAGTAATGCATTTTAAAGTGAATGTATCGAAAATTGAATGCCATCTGAAAATAAATGATGGTACCATTTAAAATTAAATTACAAAAGGCTTTTTCCTTGTCCTTTACCCTATTGTCATCCTCAGTTAGCATAGCTGTCACATTTCCACCACTTATATTCTACAGCAAAAAAGGATTTAGAATATAAAATGACTTTAAACACACACCTAATTCTACTAAAGTGAACACCTGATAAATATACTTGGTTTTTTATGAAAGAAAGATCCACAGTTATTCTGTTACTTGACCTGAATCTTCTACACAGGACTTCTTTACTAACTACCTGGGTTCTATTTTTATTATTTTTACTTCCAATGTACAATATTCCCTAAATGTATCTGCACTTCTATAAGAGGAGGCAGAAGAAAACCATTAATGTGTTAAAATGTTTAATATACCAAGAAGGAGCATACACACTATGGTAAAATATGAAGTTATGGAGTATTTATTTTTTGTCCTTCTTAAGAAGACTTAGAAATTGAACACATAAAACTGAATTAAGTTTTAAGCCTGAAAGCAAATACAAATCAAACAAAAGACAGCTGAAGATGTGTTTTGCCAATAGATTATTCTCTTTGTATACAGATGTGTGTATGTGTACCATTATACAGACAACGCTGCCAGAATGTATGAATCATTCTAATTATGTTAGAAGGAAAACTGCAAAAACAAAACATAAAATCCTAACTATCAAATACTATTAACTAAAACTAATTTATAGAATTTCATAATTTTTTATGAACTTAAGGGATGATACTCAAGCTTTTCTAAAGCAGTAACCCTTTTCTTATCTCAAAACACTATTTTAGCACTTCAGTCATAGTACAGTACTACAGTTACTTATATGTAACTTGTATGTAAATATACATAATTATTAATATATATAATTATATATCCACTGTATATTTAATGGATATAATGAAATTGTACTGTGTGTTCCTTGCAGGCAATTCCTCTGTGAGGGTAAGCACACTCTTGCAGTAGTGCTGGTACTTGAAATCTGCCTATTGCATGACTGAAATTTTTCAAATCGTTTAGCCCCAGGTGACAGTTGACTAAGGAATTGGTAAGAGATGGCTCTTAAACCGTGAGAGCTACCATTTAGAGAACACTTTCTCTGTGTCAGGCCCATATATGATTTTCCATCTTCTCAACCAACCTGGGAGCAGGGTATTTTTCACTCTGGGTATACTGCATTAGCTACAAGTATATGTTGAAGACTGTGCTAGACTCGTATATTTCTAATTTAATCCTCATAGTAACTCTGAGTTTAATAGGATTATCCACACTTTAGGGATGATAAAAGAAGCACTCAGAGGGGTTTAGTAGCTCTCTCACAATCAGATAGGTATTGTGAGCACTAAAAAACTGCCAGTTTAATTTGAAATCGTGATTAAAGTCTATGTTCTTTCTATTATCTGTTGCTTTACCTCTTGTAACTATATAGTTAATGCATGAGGCAGAGCAAGCTGCCCTGTGTACTCAAAAAATATATATACAAGAAATGAGACTGATCACCTCTCAAAGTAAGAGATTACCTCTCAAAGTAAGAGATTATCAGCTAATGGGCAACTAAGGACTATGGTAATACCCAAGTCTAGTCAAAATGTCTAGCTCGTAGCCTTAGTGTACAGGTAACTAAAATGAAAACCTAATAGATTGTACAGTACGTTTAGAGAAAGGCAGGTCACAAGAAGGTGATCTGCTGGGATGTAAAACTTGAAAGTCTCAAGAATAAGAATATATAGAAAGGAAAGGTAACCCTGGCTGGTCGTCAGGCTTGAAAGTGTTTTCTAAATGGTTCTCTAAATTAGACTTGGTATTAAGCAGTTTAAAAAGTACAGACTTTTGAGTCAGCTAGAGTAGACTGGCATCTAAGCTTTGCCACTCCTTAGTGAACTTGGCTAGTTACTGAACATGTGTAAGTCTCAAGCTTTTCATCACTAACGTTCCAAAAGTAATACATGCCTAGAATGGTGGTCCTGAAGTTTAAACGTGATTACTCAAAACACATAAGCTTTATATTTGCTGGGATAGAGGAATAAGACAAAGGTGCTTCTCCTATTACTGTGTAATTATTGTGTTATAGCATTAACATAGCAAATTCTCCATCAAGATAGAAAACAAAATTTTCTCAAATAAGCTATGATGGAGATTGTTTTTTTTTTTTTAATCTCAGCGAGCCTTTATGTGGGGATGAGATGTTGGAGATGTTAGCTGGTGCTATCATGGTATCATTTTGCAATATATATGTCAATCAAATCCTACACATATGCACCTTAAATTTGCACAATGTTAAATGTCAATTAGATCTCAATAAAGCTGAGAAGAATGTCTTTTAAAAATTTACTCAAGTTTTAATGTCACAGATACAAACCTTCCAGAGTATCTACTGACTACTGTCAGTGTATCGTTTGTGAATAAAATGGCATCCTAAATTTGGAAAGAACAAATTTCAAAGGTTATATTATGTGGATAAGAATGAAAACTTAATAAATGTAATTTTTTTATTAAACTCATATTATCATTTGACAAAAATGTGGCTGAGATGTAACAGAAAAATTTTTATTCTAGCAACATGAACAAAATTACTAATTTTATAAACATTTGTATCTGTTGTA